CTGGACGTAGGCTGGGACCAGGGGAGGTATGGCATCCAACTGGATGTAGGCTGGGACCAGGGGACTTATGGCATCCAACTGGATGTAGGCTGGGACCAGGGGAGTTATGGCATCCAACACTGCCGGCTTGATCCTGCTCAGTGATGCTGGAAACGCTGCATATGTCTCCAACCTCACGCTGGAATGTGCCGGTGGCCAAACCCCTGAATGCTTTCTATTTGTAGTTTCACTGTTCTACCGCTAGATCATGTGCGTACACATGGTCAGAGTTGCGCGTATATTTACGTACATTCCTAAGTATAAGTACAAGTTGATAAATTCCACACTTTGCGTAGGAATGTTGGTACGCTCTGATGATAAATCACTCCAACATGTCATATTGTTTTCTGTTAACCATTTCTTGACGTCTTATTTGGCTGGCTTTAGCTCATTATCTTATTGAAAGTTCAATACTGGCCAAGGACAAGCTTTTCAGCAGATTGGGTGATGTTTTTTCACCAGAATCTTAATGGAATTCTCTTTTCTCATCTGTCCGTTTACTTTGAAAGGGTTTCCTAAACCACTGTCTGAAATATACTACAAAGCATGACATTCCAGCACCATGTCTGACTGAAGGGAAGTGGAGTCCTTCTTGGTTGACTTCTATGGGGACCATCCTTGTTCAATGCCTGCTGGAGGGTCTGATTGAGATGTTGGTACCAGAATGTCTCATCAGAAGTGTAGAAGTGTCTTGGTGGTGATTCTTGGATCCTTGGTGGCCTCTCATTCTGCCATTCTTGCCAGTGCATCGGTTACTGTTGGCTACAGGCCCTTTGAGATGTTACACATTGTGAAACCTCCTGGTGTTTTTCATGATGTTTTGCACTATGGCTACTGGCACTCAAAAGGACCTGAAAATGGGTATGGATATGGACTCTAGAAGCAAGCTCACTAAGCTTTTCATTTTCGTCATGACTTGCAATTGATGGTAGAACTTACCAGGACAAATAGGGATGGTATAGAAGCTGCATATGCTCAAAAACTGGCAACAGTTGCAGGGATATAAGTAATTCTGGACATCTTCAGTAAAAACTTTTGTTGTGTTCTCCCTCCACTCTTTGCCAACATACATTCTGTTGACACAGCAAGCTGTATTCAGGAGGTACCTTGTCAGTGTCGATGCCTCTGGACATGGACCAAGTGGACACGATGTAATCCATCACCCGCTCACTGAGGCCTTTGGGGACCTGGTAGAGTTTCAGGAAGTCTCGCACACTGTTGAGCATCTCATGGTAGCGGTTGGTGTTGGCGTACATTTGCTGGAAGATGGTGGTGACGTTACCGAAGATGGTGGCATACAGCAGCGCTGTAAACAGCAAGGAAAGAACATTTAGCTCCTGAACTTCTGTACCAAACCTACAATTACTTTTTGTTTTAGTAAATCTTATGTTTCTAAAAGTTGTCATGTATCAGCACTCTCTGGGTGTGATACTGTCAAGTATGTATTTCATCATACACAAAAGGGGATGTGCAGCGTTGCAGCAGTGACTTCAACAGAAAGGTCCTGCAGATGGGAAACAGCTCACTAAAAGGACGGTTGCTGCCAAAGCATTGTACCTCTGACCACCATCTCCTGGCGGCTCCAAACAAGCCAGGGGTCTTCTGCAGGTCTCCTCACTGTATAGAACTGCATATTGTGATACTGTGCATGCCTTTAGATAGATAGATAGATAGATAGATAGATACTTTATTCATCTCCAAGAGAAATTTACAATTTACAATTTACATTTATGGACCAAACAATGTTTTATAGAAGTTTATTTAAGTTTTTCAAGGAACACAATCTTCATTTTGGTATCTCAGTCAGAGAGTGGACATTGTTGGTCGGACCTGCATTCATCAAACTGCTTAAAGCTACATGTTAGACTTCAAATAAGTGAAAAATAAATCAAACGCATCTTTACTCCTTCTCACATCTGTTAGAATAAAAACACCCTCTTCTGACTTAAAATTGATCTTCGATGTGAACGCAGCTCCGTCTCACAAAGAAACAAAACGTTATCTGAAGGAACTCTGAAACTAAGAACCCTTAATTTTATGTGTTTTTTTGCTTATTATTATAATTATTACAGGCCTCAGATAAAACCAAGAAGCAAACAAAACATTTAAAATATCTGAAATTTTCTAGAAACATGTTGTTTCTTCTTCTATTCCAGTTGCACAAGGGGGCGCTGTGATTTAAACACATGTCCACCACTGGCAGTTCTACAGCATAAATGAAGATTTGTCCATAACTACTAAAGTGTAAATGAGTTTCAGCTCTGTCACAGACATATCCTGCTGGAGCCTGCAGTCTTGTTGCTGACAGTGTCTTTATGGTCCTGAAGGTGTGGAAAACCAGGGTTCTGGTTTGCGAAGGTGTGGGAGACCCGGATGAGGCCAGGACAGAAACCAGGCTGAGCAGTGCTTTGTTCTCTTTGACAACAGGGAGTGTGAATCTGACATTGACATCATTTATAATCCTTGTCTAACTGAATGTACAACACATTGCCCTGATGATCTGGGTTCTGTACCTCGTCTACACACAGCAGAACATCTGCATCACAAGTCTGTTTCCTTTTCAGGTCATTTGCTGTATTTGTCTTTATAAATGATGCGTTCAGAACATATCAGACTGATTCTTCTCTTGTGGTAATTATTTGTGAAGATCAAAGATTTCACATAAACATAATGAACACTTTAAATGTTTACAGTATATGTTGTGTATGACAAGAATGTACGATATTACATCTCTCTTGTCCTTCTTTGATCATCACTTAAGAGTTGCTCTTCAGTCGGCTTTAAACAGCAGAATGCCCCTTTATCCCTATGAAGTTGGTACTTCAGAGCTTTCTGTTGTGTCTTTGTTTGATAAAAACGGGTCCTGATGTGTATCGACAGATCAGCTGTTCATGTCTCCTCACAGCCACAGCTCTGCTCATCAATACATGCTGCTGCAGTCCATCCTGACTCAGCTCCCCTCCACAGCCTGTCAGCACTACGTACCCGGTCACCAGATCAATATCACCCCGTCCACCTGACCTGATGCTATCATGCACAAAACCATCTGAGAAGCTGTCCTTGGAAAATGGAAAGGGCAGAAACTTCCACAAAACTTCCACAAAATAATTGGAAAGTGATTGGATGACCCATCCTATCACCGTCCATCATGGGCGGAGTCATGCCGACACCAGGCTGTGGCGACCAGCAGCGTTTCAAAGGTCCAACCCACTGTGCAGCCATGGAGAAAAGTTTTAAAAAGGACATCCATCAACTCTACACCTTAATCCTCTCTAGGGTCGTGGGGGGCGGAGTTTATCCCAGCTGACTCAGGGTGAAGGCAGGTTCACCTGGACAGGTAACCAGTCTATCACAGGGCTACACTTAGAGACAGACAACCAAGCACACTCACATTCACACCTACGGACAATTTACAATCACCAATTAACCTCAGCATGTTTCTGGACTGTGGGAGGAAGCCGGAGAACCCGGAGAGAACCCACGCTGCACGGGGAGAACATGGAGACTCCACGCAGGAAGATCCCGGGTGTCCTGCTAAAGCGGTAAACTCAGCGTCATTGTCAATAACAGCCTTTGACGCTTGTGAAATGTTTGTAATTATCCTTCAGTACACCAAAGCAACAGTAGCAAACACCTAGAAACACTGAAGCAGCACACTTTGTGAAAACCAGAACTTGTGTCCTTCTCCAAACTTGTGGCCGTGGCGACAGATTTGCACTAAACACATGAACATGTGGACAGATGTCTCTTGTGAACACGATGTGGCCTCACAGGAACCTCCTGCTGCCATCGACTCTGATCATCGTGACAACAGCTCAGACTGTAGGGCTGAATCTAAGTGTCAGAATCATCACCGTGACCTTCATAAAGGTTGCTGTCCAGCTATGGCGCAGCGTCGTAGCTGAGCTGGCGCTGAAACAGCACCAGCAGGTCCAGAACTAGAGCCAGGTCTGGACGTCTACCCCTGAGAAGCAACAACAGCAGCCAAAGAGTTTGTGTTGTTTTTTTATCTGTACAGACAAAAGACGGAGAAGAGTTCAGAACCACAGCCTGATCATTCAGTAACAACAGATCCACGTTCTCTAGAGCAGTTTCTTCAAATACATGCTTTTTGTTATTCTTTGATTAGATAGTTCCTGAGTTTCTTTTTCCAGTCTCAGTCCTGATAATCAGACATTTTACAACCTCGTTTCTGTTGTACAATTTTATACATCAACATATTATTTTTTCTAAAACTAGAACTCCATCCAGGACAGAGCTTCAGTTAAACGCCATCCTGGACTTTACAGACGTGGCTGCCATTTTTCCTCTGCTTTCACATTTTTAATGGACTAAATGATGACTGAATGAATAAATGGTGAGCAGATGTATTGATATTTGCAGTCCCACATGAAGCTGCTGCTGTTCTAGGGCAGTGACGCACGTTAAAACTGGGACAGTGTTGTTCTCTGACATGTCAGCGAGCATCTGCCTTTGATGGCATAAGTTTAACACCGTCAGCGTGGACTTCAAGCAGCTCAGACCGCACACTGTCAGAGGTACCCATTTATTTGAGTTTGGCGGTGACTCTGCTGAGTGATGCTCTGGAACAATCTGAGCAGCCTGACACAGTCCCTGAGATCACAACTCTCCAGCAGAACCTTAAACTCACAATATCCAAATACAGTATAAAGACAAGAAGAAGCTACATGGTCCTCACGCTACACAATCCAGACTACATAGATCCAAGGTACAGTCATGAACCATCTGCATCCTGCCGCCCCACGATATGGGAAACACCCGGGTTGTTCTGTTCTGTTCATTTCGTTTCATTTCGTGTAGCGCTGTTTACGACGTATGTCATCTCACAGCGCTTTACATGGTCAGGTATACACCTCACAGGTTTAACAGAGAACCCAACAATCCAGAGCAGCCTTTGGACTTCCTCTGAGCAAGCGGTTGGCGTCGGTGGGAAGGAACCAAAACCTCCAGCAGAACCAGGCACAGGGAAGGCTGCCACCTGGACCGGCCGGGTGAGAGCGATTGGTTGTTTAATAGATGGTTATGAATTGAACTGTTTTAAAGGGGGTGGTTGGGGACGACTGGTGGATGTGCAGAGGCTGGTGTAGCAGCAATGTGCTGACGTGGAGCAGCAGAACCCTAACGCTGCTCAGTTCTAAAGCAGCTCAGCGGGCTGGACTGAAGCAGAGGACGACTGGACTGAAAGGCCTGGTGACGGCTCTATCTATGATGGCTTTGGTTTAGCATTTACATTTTACCTGGAGCAGCAGCTCACTGAATGCCAACAGAAGAGGTGTCTGTGCTAACGCTAAAGCTACAGAGATTATCAGCTGGATCTGCCCAGAGAGCTGCACAGTGAATCATCAGGCCATCACTAGAATGATCGGCCGATACAACGTGAGTGTAGCTCAGGAAACTGTTCATCTATCTGGGTTTAACGTCACTGCTTCGGCTCCCTCTCGTAGCGATGTTAACGGTCTGTATAGACGAGTACTGGACACACTGGATGTAGAGTCATCAGGTGGACACCAACATGATCATTCCCATGAATGATAATACGGTTCTGCGATTGCTGGGTTAGAGTTAATCAGTCAATAATCAGCTGTTGTGGGCTAAAACATTCACCCTATCAGCTCCACAGGTGAGGATGTCCCAGTCTGTCCATTTCATGAAGTGATCTGCTCCTTGATACTTCTCCTGTATGTTGGAGCTTCACTGTGCAGCAGGTTCTCCTCATCCAGTCCCACCTTCACTGTCTTCAGCTTGCGTGTATGTTGTGTTTTGTAAATGTTATTTTACTGTTTGACTGTCCATTGTTTTTAGATCATTTAGGGAACGCACTGATGTCTCCAGTCTGACACTTGGACAAGATCCTTCTGCTGCAGCGGGAAGCTTCTCTGTGAACACCTCACATCTGAATTTAAGGCTTTTGATATTCAAAAGGAAATGTATTGACAAATTCTGAACTTCTTCGTTTCATCTTTGAGCATGTCTGCAGGAGATCCATAATCAGCCCGTCCTCGCTGCTTTTCATTGTTTTGTCAGTGAAAGTAGAGAAAATGCTTACGGGTCTGTTCAATCATCTGCAGAACAAGCACATGTGATGATAAACAGGAGTTCAGTCCAGTCTCTGTGAGAACAGCAATGTTCTGATGAAAATGGACCAGCTATTTCTGTTCTTCGTCTCAGATCCCATTCTGATGTCCCAGTAAGCACTACAACACTCACTCGCTGTGTTAATGGCCCAGACTCGTATCCTGGGCCCCGGATGCTGACTGTCATAGCAACCGCTTCCCATCAGCCTCC